AACTTGTTCGTGGATATTCCAAAGTGGACAGCGGTAAGAATATCGCACCAAGCAAAAGATCAGAGGAATAATAGTAAGCAGCATGAGCTGCCACCACATGAGAAATGATTGTTGAAGTCGAGTGCTGAGGTTCCTATATATTTCCAAACTATTTCCGTCATCGAAGAACGTCACTTAATACATGCCTATCATCTTGACGGTGTCTTTGACTTTCTTTTGTAGATAAGGACGTTAATTAGGAGATTGGGTCGCTCCGCAACCATGATTCGAGTCCAATTTTTGTGGTATAGGATAATCTAAATGGTGACATGTTTGCCATGATTTTATCATTTACTACTTTAAGGATCACATTCTTTAGGGCCAAGTCAAAATTGACTTCTATCTTTACATCTTCCGTTAGCATCGGACACTCGCTGTTACTAGTTTTATCTTCACAGCCACAACACTGATTTTCATCAATTTGGTGGACACACTTCAGATGCGTAAGTCAAAATTAAATAAGTTGCTTTTCGACAAATGTGAAGGGGTCCATGATTTTGAGCAAATGATCGAGAGCTCGAATGGATCACGCTCTTTATACCTAATACCGCTCGTAAGTTAGCGAGCGCAATTTTTGGGGGAGTGTGGAACTCTTTTCAATAGTCGATTAATAATGGTAATTGAACTGAGTGGAGTATCATGATCATAGGAATAATCGTAAGCAGCATGAGCAGCCACCACATGAGAAATGATCGTTGAAGTCGAGTGCTGAGGTTCCTATATATTTCCAAACGATTGCTGTCATCGAAGAACGTCACTTAATACATGCCTATCATCTTGACGGTGTCTTTGACTTTCTTTTGTAGATCAGGACGTTAATTAGGAGATTGGGTCGCTCCGCAACCATGATTCGAGTCCAATTTTCGTTGTGTGTTTTCATTTTGAAAACCAACGCTTTCAATCCAAAACTAAAATGAATTTATATCGGACCAAAAGGTTTACAAATTAAGAAACATTTACTTACATTAAATAGCAAGACAATCCTGCCCAAAAGGGTTGTAATGAACTGGCTGTTGTCCATACAGCCAATGCTCACTGCCGTGTATTTTTACGATTTCTGTTCAACATGTTTAGATCACACTTGTGCCGACAAAACAGCAAAAATCAAAGGTTGTTTAGTCTTTCGGTTGTCCTTAAGAAGTCACGTAGCTCAGCAAAAATCTT